CCCCCCCCCCCCCCCAACAAAACAAATTGAAGACTCGACACACAGGCCATTCCGTCAGTGATCATCGGACAGCGAAGAAGGAATGGGAAGCTTAGGGAGAGCAGTGTATACCGTTGGATTCTGGATTCGTGAGACAGGCCAAGCTCTAGATCGCCTTGGTTGCCGCCTTCAAGGCAGCTACTACTTCCAAGAACAACGTATGTATTATTCTTCATAACCCAGATCTCTCTCCCTCTCTCGATTTTCTTTTTTCGTTTCAAACCCTGAAATTTTCCACGCATATCCATACATAATTGTACGCAATTTTCTGTTTTATGGAAGGTAATAGAATTAGGCGGGGGAGTAAGATGTAGTTGGATTCTATGAGAAAGCATTTAAGCAGTGATGCAACTTGCGATTTCTGCAGTTAATTAGGTTGTCATTTTTTGTGTTATCTACAAACTGTTTATTGGATAAGACTGTGTATTTATATATGCCCCCTGTATTAGTAAGTAGAAAGTTTAGTGATTCCGGAGTGTTGTGGTCCTTTACTGTTATCCGTTTTATGCTGGATATGAATATATAAGATGATGATTCAGGGTGAATGACATTAGCGCAGATGCTGGATAGGAACATAGCGGCTACCCGAGCATTGCAAGGGATTTACAAACCCCATCTTCTATCCACCAGCCCCCTTCCACACAACCCACTGCCACCCCAACTCAACATCCCCAATCCACTTCCACCACGCCGCCCCTAAACCCACAAGCCCCTCTTTGGCCCTCTACAACTATCCCCAATTTACCAAAACAGACAAAAGCGAGAGATAAATAGTTGAATTAGTTTAAGAGAACATTTGAAGAAAAAAAATTAACAAATTAAAAGATAGATTTGAAAAGAATGAGGTATACTTGAAAAGAAACTGTGAGGTTCAAGGAGCATTTCTTGGAGATGATAGCAACGAAGAGGGAGAGAGAGGCTAGAAGAACATTGCTGGGGTTTGATCTTGTACAGCAAAACAGTACACAGAAAATCATTGATAACTTTCTCCTCACACCATCAGTAGCTCTAAGAAATTAATAAACAACTCTATCCACCAAGATTACAGTCGCATAATCTTCTGGGCAGAATTTGAGCAGCAACTGGCAACCCCCTGTTCAGTAAGTGTGGCAAAAAGTGAGATTGCTGACAGATGAATCTAATACTAAGTTCGTTGGCTAAGATAAGGCATTTTCACTTTCAGTCTCGTGTTGCCTTTCCATTTTTCTGAAACAATATGACTCTTTATGGACCGGGCTCACTTGAGGATTTGATAAGTGCAATTGACTGCTTGTTGCACTCATTTTGTTTTTGTTTATTTATGTCCAGTTGAGCGGATATATTGGGTTTCATGAATTTCTTTGTCTATGCTTGTACGAGGAAGTCTTTACCGAACTCTTTCTTATATGAGGGACAGGCCATTTTTGTTTAGATTTTATTCCATACATAACATAACCATCTATATTCATTTGTCTTTTCTCCCCTCTTTTCTTGTGTCAGTGTCTACGCATCGGACTCTTATGAATGTATTTGATAAAGCTCCGGTGGTTGATAAGGATGCATTTGTAGCTCCAAGTGCTTCTATCATTGGGGATGTTCAAGTGGGACGAGGATCATCTATTTGGTATGGATGTGTTCTGAGAGGTAATGCTTTGATCAATAGTTGGTATTTCTTATATGCCAGCTCTTTAAAAAAATATATTTTTCTCACTTAAGCAACACAAATATTTTCAAATATTTGTCAAAAATTGTTTCTGAAAGTCCAGCATGCTCTTATATCTTCTGTGCACTACTACTCACAGAATCTAACAAAAATAATTTGTTGGTTGTCTCAAAGCTCACTATTCTTTGCTTGCATGTTGTCAGATTGTGTGCAAGGACTAATATATTAGGTGTGTCATCGATACATCAAAATGAAGTATTAGTATCATATGGCAGGAACTGAAACTTGAGCAACTTTTGGGCCACTTGAGCAACTTTTGGCTGTGGGCCAAAAGTTGATACGTGGTATCATTTGTGTGGCGGAGGCTTTTCACTCGAACTCATGGGCAATGGATTATCTGTGCATTGCACTTTTCGGATACTTTTTTTTTTGGTATCATGTTTAGAGCACAAAAAAAAAAATCTTGTAAGGGCTTGGAATGGTCGTTACCAAGATTGAAGCAGATATTTTGAATTTCCCATTTTGGTGCTCTCGACATTTGTTATTTCTATTAGATTCTTCTGTAATGTTCATGAGTGGTTTTATTTTGTTTTAAGGTTTTGTTACTGCCGTATACTAGTATTGGTCATGTGGACATCTTTTGCTTCTGTTGTTAGATTCTCTTCTGCATCTCTATTTTACATCAGTTCTTCTCCAAACTGTTAAGGATTTCATTCCTATGACATTTCAGATATTTTCAACTTCTTTCGTTCTGTTTGGGTGGTTCTTCTTCTTCTTTTTTTTTTTTNTGTTTTTGTTTATTTATGTCCAGTTGAGCGGATATATTGGGTTTCATGAATTTCTTTGTCTATGCTTGTACGAGGAAGTCTTTACCGAACTCTTTCTTATATGAGGGACAGGCCATTTTTGTTTAGATTTTATTCCATACATAACATAACCATCTATATTCATTTGTCTTTTCTCCCCTCTTTTCTTGTGTCAGTGTCTACGCATCGGACTCTTATGAATGTATTTGATAAAGCTCCGGTGGTTGATAAGGATGCATTTGTAGCTCCAAGTGCTTCTATCATTGGGGATGTTCAAGTGGGACGAGGATCATCTATTTGGTATGGATGTGTTCTGAGAGGTAATGCTTTGATCAATAGTTGGTATTTCTTATATGCCAGCTCTTTAAAAAAATATATTTTTCTCACTTAAGCAACACAAATATTTTCAAATATTTGTCAAAAATTGTTTCTGAAAGTCCAGCATGCTCTTATATCTTCTGTGCACTACTACTCACAGAATCTAACAAAAATAATTTGTTGGTTGTCTCAAAGCTCACTATTCTTTGCTTGCATGTTGTCAGATTGTGTGCAAGGACTAATATATTAGGTGTGTCATCGATACATCAAAATGAAGTATTAGTATCATATGGCAGGAACTGAAACTTGAGCAACTTTTGGGCCACTTGAGCAACTTTTGGCTGTGGGCCAAAAGTTGATACGTGGTATCATTTGTGTGGCGGAGGCTTTTCACTCGAACTCATGGGCAATGGATTATCTGTGCATTGCACTTTTCGGATACTTTTTTTTTTGGTATCATGTTTAGAGCACAAAAAAAAAAATCTTGTAAGGGCTTGGAATGGTCGTTACCAAGATTGAAGCAGATATTTTGAATTTCCCATTTTGGTGCTCTCGACATTTGTTATTTCTATTAGATTCTTCTGTAATGTTCATGAGTGGTTTTATTTTGTTTTAAGGTTTTGTTACTGCCGTATACTAGTATTGGTCATGTGGACATCTTTTGCTTCTGTTGTTAGATTCTCTTCTGCATCTCTATTTTACATCAGTTCTTCTCCAAACTGTTAAGGATTTCATTCCTATGACATTTCAGATATTTTCAACTTCTTTCGTTCTGTTTGGGTGGTTCTTCTTCTTCTTTTTTTTTTTTAGGTTCAACGGTCAGAGGTGTCTCAATTAGTTTATGTGCACCTCAACTAATTCTCTTTCCGGTCCAGTCAAAGGTAGGTCATCTACACCGAGATTAGAGTATTCATGAAGGATAGATCCCTCATGACCTGGTTCTAAGGGATTGCTAATATCAAAACTCAGGACATCTGGGTTTACAGATACCACTTGAGCTACCCTTGGCCCCAAGGCTGGCCATCCATGTTTGGTTGGTTCTGCAGAGCCCCATGATTTGGAAACTTTCAGTTTCCTATGATTCACTAAGTTATGGAAGTGAAATTTTTCTTACTTCGCAGGTGCATCAGTATAGAAAACATGGGCTGTTCAGATCAGCACTCATCACATGACCCCTCACACCTTATGCATGTTTTTTTTGTATTTGTACGAGATTTTGCTCAGCATTCACTTTTTATCTTTTGTGCATAGGTGACGTAAACAGCATCAGTGTTGGGTCTGGAACTAATATACAGGACAACTCCCTTGTGCATGTGGCAAAATCGAATCTAAGTGGGAAGGTGCTACCGACAATTATTGGGGATAATGTTACTGTAGGTAAGTGCCCCTGCTTGCAGTTTTCTTTTCACACAACTTTAGGGTTTTCTTTTGCCATATTGTTATTTCCTTAATGTTATCTAGATTTTATCAATCGTTGTATATTGACTTAGAATTTGAACACAGGTCACAGTGCCATCCTACATGGTTGCACAGTTGAGGATGAAGCCTTTGTTGGTATGGGAGCTACTCTGCTTGATGGTGTGGTTGTAGAGAAACATGCCATGGTTGCTGCAGGAGCACTTGTGAGACAAAACATGAGAATCCCCTCCGGAGAGGTACCGCTGCAATTCCAAACCCACCCAAAAATAAAAGACAAAATAGTGCTCAATATCTTTATAGGGTTATCATGACGGTCTGAAGCTTATTGGTTGTCATTCACTCCATTTGTTCACCTTGTGAAAATTTTTGGGTTTGCAATTGCGACTAGACTTCTTTGGATTGAATAATATAGTAGATTTTTTGATTAGCTACACGCTTCAAACAGTATATTAATTCTTACATTGCTCATATGTATACTAGATATATAAAAAAAATATGGAAAAATATATAAGCAAGCAGCATATGTGAAGGAAAAAGTCCAAATTGAGTTAGCTGACTTGTACACAGGTGTGGCTTGTAGTCACTTAATTCATTTACCCTGGCTGACTGACCCTACTGTTTTAGTAACTTAATGTTATGGATGGTATAGGAGGGTGTGACATAAGAGTTTCTTCAGGTTTCTTGAATTTCGGTTGAGCCAGATTCTGACCTATAGGAAAAATAAAGGTATCAGGTTTCAATCATGCTATCCTTTGGGTGCTTAGTAATTTGTCATGGCTCTTTGTTTTAAGAATTTCCTGTAAACCTTAGGCACAATTTTCTAGTAGTTGGCCTCAAAATTTGGGTAGCTATTGCATTGTTCTATCTGAGATTGAGTAATGGTATTTGTGAGTTGGATACCATGTACCACATCCAGCCAAAGCCTAATTGGCTACCATGATACCTACTTGTAACGATCGCATATTGAAGCTGTTTTCTTGGATAATTTCATATTTACAGGTGTGGGGAGGTAATCCAGCCAAGTTCCTCAGGAAGCTCACTGACGCAGAGACAGCATTTATATGCCAATCAGCCACCAATTACTTAAACCTGGCACAGGTCCATGCTGCTGAAAATGCGAAGTCCTTTGATGAGATTGAGTTCGAGAAGGTTCTCCGCAAGAAGTTTGCCCGACGGGATGAGGATTATGATTCCATGCTGGGTGTTGTCCGTGAAACACCCCCGGAACTTATTCTTCCAGATAACATTCTACCGGATAAAGCACCGAAGGGTTCTCAACAATGAGATATTCAGGAAGTAGGTTTTGCTTTCTTTTTCATTCTTGAGATTTGATGTCAGGAAGTATCTGTACTGTGGAGATTGATTCATCTCTTTCTAAAATAATACCGGATTGGCTTTAGAGTAGCAGCAATGAATCACGGGACACTTTGGGCTCTGGCTCTACTACCTGGTTTTCCAGATACTCTAGTTTCCTGCTTAGAACAAACTCATGATGCGAAGCAATATGTATGGCAATGTATTACCTTCTTTGTAATTAGCATACTCGTTTCTTAATGAATTGTATGTTTCTTGGGAGCAATCATGTCTCATATGCTACAAGTTCCGGGTAAAAGGTTGTGTCGATGATCATATAACTCAGCCTTACCATGTTTTTATAAGTTCAGGCAGCTGTCGACATTTAGCCAAACCTCAGGAAGGAAAAGCCTTGAGCTGGGGAACTCGTGGTTTGCAGTTTGCATTGCATTTTATTCCAGCATTCAGTTATTTAACTCATCTGACGTTGAGATTGAAACATTACTATGCAATAAGTTTCTATCCACTGAAGTATGTTCTGGAACTCTTGAGGAAAACATAGTGGTGACTTTCTATCCACTTGGCGTGAGTCGTTGAGAATCTTCCACGTAAATTCAGACAAGGTATGTGATGGCCTCCAGCCATGGGAAAGTCTACGAAACAAATAATTTTGATACTCTACCGGCCTAAGCATGAGTATTGCAAATCTCATCGCGAAATACCAGTTCAAAGCCTAGATTAACGCAATCAATATTCATCTAGATGTGAAACAATTTCAAATACAATTTAAAAGGGAAGCCCAACATAAGCATGCTGTTAAATGTTTTCATCAATAAAATAAAAAGACAATCCCACAAAAAATAAATATCCAACCAGAAACTGATGTTTCTACCGACATATCTTAGAAACCTCATTCTAAGATAAGTAAGCAAGGCGAATAAAGGCTGCCATATCTTCAAATATCCATTGGAGCCACACCCTCGTCAGCAGGGACTCCCTGGTCAGCAGCAGCACCTAGGTCAGTAGCTGCAGCTTCCTCAGTAGGACCCTCTTCACCCACAACCTCGAATGCATTGATCAACGCTTGTACAGTTTCCTGGTCCAATGTATGGAATGCCTCTCCTACTCCTAGCACAGAAACCGTGCATATTGAGCTGGTAAGCTTTTCTCCTTGTAAAGTTTCCCTTAGTGCAAAAAGTGCATCCTTGAGTAGATCATCTCTTGAAGAGTCCATGAAGTTCTCAAACTTCCGCTCCAAGTACGTCTTTGCAGCTTGTGAGCGAGACCCCATGGCAAAAGCTTGATATTCAAAGTAGTTCCCACTTGGACAGTTGTAGTATAGATGAGCTCCAGATTCATCCAACCCACCTACCAGCAGACCAACACCATATGGCCGTTTCCATGAGCGCTGTGTGCAAACCTGCCAGCATGAACGCGATTAATACGAAAGAGTCACAAAGAGCTGATCTAGCACCACATGTAAAAGCAACATCCTACGACCATCATCATTACCACACACAAAGACAAACATCCACATCACAGAATTTGTACACAAAGAAAACAAAAATGGAAAAAAAAAAATGCAGTCTCATCCAATTTTAAATCTGCAATACAAGCCGTTGTGATTCTCCAAGTAAGTACACAACATGTGCTTAGCAGTATCCATCAGCCTACAAAGGTAAAATGACATGGTGCTTTCCCAATTTATATTCGGACAGACCATTGTTGCAGACATCTTTTGAAACAACACCCCCGTTTAATGAATCAAGCAAGAAGACAACAATTTTCCAAAAATACAGCTCCATCGTACTCAATCTTCATTTCTAGGAATATTAATCTGGTACAGCCTAATCTTTGTTTTTCAAGTTGTCTTGATGCTACACCTGAATCCCCGCCAAAGGGAAGGGTTGGGCTTTTGGGTTTGTTATGGAGAAAGGAGTAGGGTTTATGGGCTTGTAATAAGGCAAGGATGGGATTTTACACTGGGACTGTAACAACACACATGGAAAGTAACTTGTGGAATTCTTGGATCTGTAGGAGCTAGGGTCTAGTGTTTAATGGAGAAAGTAATCAGGTTTAAAGGCAAGAATTCTGTTTGATCAAGTCTGCTCGCAGGCCAAGATGTAAAAGAGGAAGAGGAAGAAGTGAAGAACACTTCACCCTTGTAGGGTTAGACAAAGCTACAGTAACACAACACCAATTTTTCATAATCCAATTCTCCATTGAATAGAAAGAGAACATAAATTTAGCGATCCATTTTGCGATGTATAAAAGGAAGCATTTAAAAAACCAAATTATCCAGATTTTAATGGATTAAGGCTACACCCTACACATCAGTATTCATATTCTCGCCTAGGAGTGACAGTCTATGTGACGTATACTTTGATAGCCTAAACAAAAATCTCAATTAGGAGTGCCACATACATAAAATGTAACATGATGATGTCATAGAGAAAAACGACTTGGCCTCAAAAATTTCATACCGACGAATATCATATTGGATCCTCATAAAACTCTAACAGAAGGTGCATATACAAAAGAAAGAAAGAAAAGGGCAATTCCTGAAATGAGGTACAGTGCCTATCCTACTTGTACCCAAACGTGAAGAAAGAGGCTTTGATCTTCCTATACCTCCACTGCTTGCACTGAGAAATGAATAAGAAAAATAAAATCTAGACTTAGAATCCCAAAGCTGGTATGGTTTGGAACAGCAGGTGGATTCCATGCTTTCTTCTTCCTCATCTCAGCAATGAGCAATCAGAGAAAACATTGCAACTTGCTTGAATTGAAAAAAAAACCATTAATCTTGGTACCAGACAATGATCACTTCCAACACTCGGCATTCGGCACCGAACAACTGTGATCCAACCATCAAAATCAAGCAAATAAACAATCAGGAAAGCACATCCATTATCTAAGCACCCAACATCCTCCTTTCCCGCCTCAAAACTTCATGAGAACCATAATTACGTGTCCTATTCTACAATAGTGCAACTTAAAACCTTCAAAGACCCAAAAACATGTAAAACACTCAACAGATTCAAGCAAAAGCAAAAGTAATTGTTCTTCAACAATTTTGTGGCAACCAAAATAAGATAAAAGACAACGCCCAAATACTGTAATTGTCATCTACTCTTTTCGTTGGAAACAAAAGGACAGCAAGAAAGTCCCCATTCCTACCTCCTAGCCTAAAACTAAAACTATAACCCTCTAATATTCACAATACAACAAACACAACCACAATTGGTCCACTTCAAATCACACATAAGACATCAATCACAAAGCAATAATATTATTACTGTAGAGTTAGAATACGGGAGATAAGGTCTTTAAATCTTAGGCTTGTCCTCGTTTGGGATCCGAAAAAATGCAAAACTGCCACTCAACAGTGTCAAGTAAAACAACTTAGTTCATTCAAAATTTTGAACAGACCATTAACCATGAGTCCTGAATAGCTTGATTTCGTTCTTTTTCCAAGAAACCAAACAGAAATTGAAAATTTTCCATTCCAAACTCCGAAACTAAAGCCCCAACCTCTCATTTTTCACGATTTAAATCACGCATTCAATATTCAATAAGTGAGTATGCATTCAAAGGTACATACACGAATAAGAATGTATAGGCAGAAAGGGATTAGGGCTTTGGACCTGAGCTTTGTCAGCGAGTTGTACTACGAGTCGGCCAACAGGAAGAGGAGACTCGTAAGAGTAACTGTAATTGATACACTCGGATCGCATGTATCTGGAGAGAACACGTCCATCGGCAGTGAGACCGGCGATGGCCACGCCGATGTGGTCATCCACCTTGAAGATCTTCTTCTGGTGTGAAGACAATTCGGAGTTGGCCTTGTTCACACTAGCCAAGACCACGTGCGTCTTCGATCTCAAACCTATCGCCGCCGACCCTTGCTTCACTGCCTCCATTGCATACTCCACCTGAAAAAGCCTCCCCGCCGGCGACCATGTCGTCACGTCGGTATCGTACTGGTTCCGAAACATCTTCGATGCACGCTACGACGTCGTCTCAACTTCACGCACTACACACACACACACACACACACGTATCTGTGTTGAAATGAATCGCGCTATTCTCTTTCTTCTTTCGGAAACAAATGCATTTCTTTTTCTTCGAGACAAGAAATTCAGAGGAAAATAGTACCGATGGGTTTTCCACTTAATTATATTTTTACCCCTAACGTTTTACCTTATTCTATTTTGATCTTGAAGGTTTTTGTTGATAATTTGATTCTTCAATTTTTTTAAAGAATAATACACCTAAAAATTTGATCTAATTTATTGACTTAATAACGTATTTTTATTGTAACTATTGAATTAATACTAAATTTTAATGTTTAATGAGACTCACATACTATAATCAATTCAATGACTATAATGAATGTAATTCTAAGATACATAATTGAAAGTAATTGTCAAGTTGCATTTTTTAAAAATAAAGTTATAATTATTTGAGGAAATTTGTGATTGATCGTGAAATACCATGAAATAATTGTAAATTCTCTTTTACGAATTGTAACTTTACCTTTATAAGTTATAATATTTATTATCGATCACAATATTGTAAGATTGATCATGCTATTTTTAAATTATAATTTACATCTCAAAAAGTTGTAACTTGACTTTAAAATGGTATAATTCAATATAATACCAAAGGCAATACCATAGTTTTTTCATGTAATTTTTTGTAATTGCCCATGATACTTTTATAAAACATTTCAACAGAAGTCATCGGTTTATTGGATGGAATTAGAATTTTTGAGTATAAATCTAATAAAAAGCAAAGGCCAAATCAACAATTAATGAGAATTTTTAGAGTATAAATATAATAAATTTTAAGAGGAACTGTAATTGGACAGATCTAGTGACTGTTGTTATGGGTCATGTGAATCCAACGGTTAATAGGACTACAATACATTCGGGTCTTGGCCTAAGTCAAACAATTCTTGGGCTTGGGCCTTTTTTTGAGCATCCACTCAAAGCCTACATACACAGTCCTTAGGCCCATAATTCTTCGTCTCATCACTAATGTTTCGTTTGGTACAATAAATAAGTGGAATGATGAAAAGTTGAAAGGATGAAAAATTAGAAAGATAAATAAAACATTATGTTTGGTACGAAAGGAAAATAGGAAGGATGAAAAAATAAATGGATTAATTTTCATTCCAACTCACAAAAATCAATCCCCTCTAAAATTAGAAGGAAAGTGGATGAAAAGTTAATTATTTATGTTAAGATGTATCTTATTTGTCTATATATCTTATGTATACATTAAATTTTTAAAAAATAAAAATTTTAAATTAAAAAAATATTTTTTTCATCTTAACTAAGAGTAAAAATTTAAAAAATTTCAATTCAATACAATAACACGACTCAAACTCAATATGAAAATAAAATAATTAACTCGCAACTCGACACAACACAATTAGTTAAATGAGTTAAGTTAGGTTTGATTAATATTCGACACAAACTCGTAATAACTCAACACGAATCTGACACGACACGACTTGAATCGATTGTCACCCCTAATCTTAATCGGCACAAAAAAAAAATAGTCATTTTTATTTTTCATTCATCCAACTAAATACAAAGGCAAAAAAAATATATCATTCCCACTTTTCATCCTTGAAAAATAAAAAGTGTATCCTTCCTATTTTTCATTCTCTCTACCAAACGGAACATAAGAAAAGCCACTGTGCAGCCCAAAATGCTTAAGAATCTGCCCTTAGGGCACTGGTGATCATTTTTGATTGATTTCGATCGCCTCGAACACATATTATTCTAATTTTTCTCAATGCTGCATTCTACCCTGTTTGTCCCAAACTAGAATAAAGAAAGAGAGTCATGTTAAGTTACCAACAATGACCATAAAACTTTGTCGAATCCACCTTAATGAATACAAAATAATGATAGCCGAATCCACCTTAGTTGGTTTGTATTGTCAAGACGTCCATCATATATAGTATGTTCGTCCACGGGTCTGGAGCAACTTCAACTCAGAAGAGAGGTAAACTTCTATCTTAAAAGAGAGGCCTTGGACATGTGGTGCAATCATATCCTATGGATACAGTGTGCAAACCGCAAAAACTACTTTATTCATTTGCTTCATGTTCTGAAATCAAGATCTAATTCCACGGAAAGACCCACCCATTACATGTCCACTAGACCAGAGCAAAGATGAAGATAGTTCACCTGTAGTTCCGATATTTGAAGTTCATTCTCACTCGATCTTCATCGAAAAGAAACCATGTAGCGTAAAGACTAAATGGCATGAGAATACAAAAGCAAAGAGAAACAACTGGAACACCCGAGGTTTGAAATGGAGCCACTTAGGGGAGTGTTTGTTCAATCACAGGCCAAGCACATGGAGCATGATCGCATTCTGAGCATGCATGCGGTTCTCAGCTTGGNAATTTTTAAAAAATAAAAATTTTAAATTAAAAAAATATTTTTTTCATCTTAACTAAGAGTAAAAATTTAAAAAATTTCAATTCAATACAATAACACGACTCAAACTCAATATGAAAATAAAATAATTAACTCGCAACTCGACACAACACAATTAGTTAAATGAGTTAAGTTAGGTTTGATTAATATTCGACACAAACTCGTAATAACTCAACACGAATCTGACACGACACGACTTGAATCGATTGTCACCCCTAATCTTAATCGGCACAAAAAAAAAATAGTCATTTTTATTTTTCATTCATCCAACTAAATACAAAGGCAAAAAAAATATATCATTCCCACTTTTCATCCTTGAAAAATAAAAAGTGTATCCTTCCTATTTTTCATTCTCTCTACCAAACGGAACATAAGAAAAGCCACTGTGCAGCCCAAAATGCTTAAGAATCTGCCCTTAGGGCACTGGTGATCATTTTTGATTGATTTCGATCGCCTCGAACACATATTATTCTAATTTTTCTCAATGCTGCATTCTACCCTGTTTGTCCCAAACTAGAATAAAGAAAGAGAGTCATGTTAAGTTACCAACAATGACCATAAAACTTTGTCGAATCCACCTTAATGAATACAAAATAATGATAGCCGAATCCACCTTAGTTGGTTTGTATTGTCAAGACGTCCATCATATATAGTATGTTCGTCCACGGGTCTGGAGCAACTTCAACTCAGAAGAGAGGTAAACTTCTATCTTAAAAGAGAGGCCTTGGACATGTGGTGCAATCATATCCTATGGATACAGTGTGCAAACCGCAAAAACTACTTTATTCATTTGCTTCATGTTCTGAAATCAAGATCTAATTCCACGGAAAGACCCACCCATTACATGTCCACTAGACCAGAGCAAAGATGAAGATAGTTCACCTGTAGTTCCGATATTTGAAGTTCATTCTCACTCGATCTTCATCGAAAAGAAACCATGTAGCGTAAAGACTAAATGGCATGAGAATACAAAAGCAAAGAGAAACAACTGGAACACCCGAGGTTTGAAATGGAGCCACTTAGGGGAGTGTTTGTTCAATCACAGGCCAAGCACATGGAGCATGATCGCATTCTGAGCATGCATGCGGTTCTCAGCTTGGGGGAAGACAATGGATTTTGGAGATTCCATAACCACGTCAGTAACCTCCACACCTCGTTCTGCTGGTAAACAGTGCATAAAGTAAGCTTTTGGTCCTGCTATCTGCATAAGATCTTCGTCCACCTGCAATTAATTTATATTGAAAGGTTGTCACATAGAACTAAGAACAGGTATGAAAGAAGTATGAAGTTCTAACTCTCTAAATTTTTGCCTTTTTCATTTATACGAACTAGCCGACCCAAAAATAAAAAACAACGGTTACAATGCAAGGAGGGGGCTGTCTTCAAGAATTGCTAACAACCACCAATTTCCATTACCATCAGATATCTTCTTGATCTTCATACTTACCTAGGAACAAATATAAATTGCAAACATAAAGGTGGAGTAGCAGACATCAGGTCATGCTAGTAGCCATGGACACAAAAATCTCTATATGCAGCTTAGTTCATCTTTTTCAACCTTTAGGACTTACCACTCCAAAACTCATGGCCTGATAGAAAATTTAGCATGATACAGGAAATTCACACAGAAAGCTGGATGGGCAGTGGGTGGGGTTTGGTAGTTGGGTGACTGTGGTGGGCGAAAGAGAGAGTGAAAAACTATCACAAAAAACTGTAGTCAAAGGTGAATCCACACTCAAATTTGCAATTGGCATATCTTTTTTCCCTCTCTTAGTAAAATATAGGTAGAGTTAGATACAATATAAGCTCAACACTTCCCAATCACATAGCAGCACATTTGACTTTCTTCCAGTATGTGGAATCAATGACAACTATCCATAATGGCCAAAGAGAATAAAGAATAATAGCTACATTGGTTTGTAATAATGCTTCAACAATTCTACTCCCCTTTGCTGGGTTTATAAGTACTAATGTTGCTCAAGTATGCATCCACACTATACAGTAGGCTAGAAAATAGAGCACATGCGAAGTGTGTTTAAAGTTTCCAATTTAAGTCACACTACAACAAACTAAGTTTTGACACTAAATCAATACATACCAAATAAATAAAGAAAAACAAAAGAGGAAGGATAATTATAGCAAATTCTCCATACATCATCTTTTCGCCTCAAGTCCCCATATTGAGTTAATGTAAAATATACCAATTTTTGCAATCAAATCTCCTGGAGCTACTTTAATTTGCTCCAAAAGCATATAGTCAGAACTAATAGAATGTGATGTACTCATACGCAATGCACACAATGCTACAAGTGCAAGAGCTTGATTAACCAAACAAGATCATTACAACGAATACCTGGAATCCTTTAAATACTTGACGGCGATATGAAGCTTCTTCCTTTTGCCCCATGCTAGCCCAAACATCCGAATACACGACATCAGCTCCTCTAACAGCTTCTTTTGGATCATTAGTTATTTCAATTTTGCTGACCCCAGCCTGTTGCGCATTCTCAACTGTCTTCTTGTCAGGTTCAAAACCTTTAGGGCAGGCACAGACAAAATGTAAAGGAATAAGTGAAGCTAGCAAAAGCCAAGAGTGCACAATGTTGTTTCCATCTCCGACATAGACAACCTGCATTTTGTATTTTCATCAAATCAAATTAGAATTTTAACTTCAATTTTATCAAAGATACTAAGAGACAAACAGATACCACCAAAAGGATAAATAGTAATGGGTTAACCTTAGTTCCTTCCAACTGGCCAATGTGTTCAATTATAGTGAGTGCATCAGCCATTATTTGACAGGGATGGTTGTAGTCTGTCAGACCATTGACCACAGGTACAGTAGCATATTTAGCCAGATCCAGGATGTCCTGCAAAGAAAAATAAGCAATATGCATAACTAGATTTCACAAAGAAATGAAAAAAGAGAGTGTGAATGAGGTGTTCCTCTTAGGAGCAGAGATTTTCTTTTCGTTTTATTTTTATGATTCCCAAAACAACACACAATTATAAAGAGGCAGGTGCAACATCAAATAAGAGTCCATCTAAAATTCACCATAAACATACACTTTATGATCACACTTTGCCTTCGAAAACCATTAAAATTTCACAAATGATATTTACTCTTTATGTTCCCCCTTTATTGGCAGACCAAACTTAAATCCACTTGTAATATTAAAGGAGCCTTTATCATAGTCCAATAATACCTCCCCTTTTTGGATCCTAGAGAGATGCCACATATCACTAAGAAACAAAATGAAAAAAAAAATAGTATTAATTGAGCCCATTTAGCTCAAATCAGAATGAAAACGGAGGTTTGAGAATTGAGAGCTTAGACATGGATGAATTTTCTTCTTGTTTCTTTACTAGATGAACCTTTTCTTCCAAAAGCATCCATCATGTAGAAGCACAGTCATACCACATATTGACTACAGCTGAAAATTGTTTTCCCCACCCTCCGAACAAAAAAATAAATAAATAAACAACAAATAAAGAATATGTTAGAAGAACATTTGTGCATTTATATTCATAAAAATATACACAGTGGGTATATATTTATAGAGGTTAATTATCCAGTTTGGTCCCCTCGAGAAAAGGTTCTAGGCGGTGTAGGTACAGACCAGGCCCATGACTTTATTTGCACGAAGCAGCCACTAGAATTTGAAGACAAAACGTCACAGTTGTTAGCCTGATATTTTTACCACTACACCATGCAATTGCCCCCCTGTATAGGTTTACATAGGTACATGTAATATAGTCAAATAAAAATACAAGCATCTTTTCTTCCCTAGTTTCTTGTTCGTTTCAAAAAATAATTAGAAGCACAAAGATTTGTGAAAACTAAAGAATAAGCCTCGGAGATATTCAAGATTGTATTACCTGAGAGGTTGTAACAAAATTTGAAAAAATTATTAATCACATACATGAGTTCTGAAACCAGAAGTCCTTCATCGTTTTATGGCAGTGTGAGAGGAGAAAAGGGAGGGAGCCCACGTAGAAATGTTCATATATACAGACCTAACAACCAACAGAAAACTCACCAGCATACCTGATGAGCAAAGACACGGGCCATAATGATATCATTGTAGCGAGACAGCACACGGGCTACGTCGCGAGTTTCCTCCCGCTTACCCATCTGGATATCATCCGGTCCCAAGTACAAAGCATGGCCACCAAGCAAGTAAAATCCAGTCTCAAATGAAACTCGCGTCCTCATGGATGGCTTGGCAAAAATCATTGCCATTGTTTTCCCTTTAAATGGGAGATAAGTATTCTCTCGTGATTTTAGGAGTGCCTTGACCTCTTTGGCTCGGTCTAAGATCTTCAAAATAGTAGCTTTGTTGAAGTCACTAATGTGAAGAAAGTCCTTGAGGCCTGCTTTTGCTGGTAACAAACCTATAAGTTAGATATTCAGAATATTCTTTTATCAAATTTTCATTTTAAGGCACATGTGTTTCAATTGGGAATTACTATGCTGTGATTTATTTTAAAAGTGAGTTTTGGAGACAAATTCACAATTACATATTAGCAAATATGTAGTACCAATGCAATTGTTTTAAAGATTCTAAAGAAGTTTGCATTGCACAATAATGAAAAATATCCAGCAACTTCAAGCGATATATTGCCGGATAATATTTGATTGTTCTTGGCCCTCAAACCAGCACAAGCATTTGCTACAAATATGTCTCACAGGTCACAGCATTCAAACTTTTGGAAACTGTAGAATAATAAAGAGCTTCAAGTTGTATCAAAGCAAGAAAGAGTTTTGGATTAGATTTCAAAAGCAGGTCCTGCTCTACCTATTAACCAGCTAAACTCCTAGACCGTCATACCTCTACATGGACATGTAGACAAGGACTTCCACTCAACTTTATAGACTAGCATGTAAAGTTGGAAAAAATTTATTCTTAACACAGATTTTCTGCTCATGGATGTAAATGTGTACATTAAAGGAAACAAAACCAATAATAAAAAATTTGTCAATAACATACTTTTGAAGTATATGCTTGTGAATGCATAAAAAATGCCTACAAATGATATATGGCATTAAGCATCAACAAATAGAGCCACTATAGCATTTCTACGAAATCCAACGTTGTGTTAAGTGTTGTGTGTGTGCACAGTGAGTGTGTGTGTACAGTGTGTGAGTGAGTGAGTGTGTCTCTGTGTGTGTGTGAGAGAGAGAAGAAGGAGAAGAAGAAAACCACACTTGCGGGGATTTCTTTCTAGCAGAACGACCAAAAAGATCAGAAAATACTTTAAAAAAAAAAATAATAGTTTTTATTTCTAATAAACTGAAAAGTTCAAATGAGGTGGAAAAAACAAAACGAGCTCGATAAGCCAGTCCAGATGATTGAAATCGCCAGACTCACGATTTCCAGCTCCTGAATTGGTCCAACTAACGTTCACCAAAAAAAAACCCTAAACCCTAATTTCCACCACATTTAACTGCTTTCTATTAAATCCACTTCCTATCGATTAACTTACAGTACAGGCACTTGAAGACTTGTCGATAATCATACAAATTTAACAGCAATCCTATACTTCAACACCCAAAATTGAATACATTTAACTTAAAACCATAAAAAAATTCAAGAAAATGGTAAAAATAGAGAACTGTGAATAACAGTAAAAAAAAAAAAACAGATACCTTTTCCATTGACGGAGGATGGAGTTGTTGAAATCTCGGAGGTCTGACAGGAGATTCGTCGACGGATCGTCGGGATACAAGCCGGAGAAGACACGGAAATATCCGGACAGCGCAACGACTGCCGGGGATATTGACCGGAGAGAGAGAAAGAAGAGGCTGATGAGAGAGAAGCTGCGTCTGATGATCGAACGGAGGAAGGGTGCGAGAGAATGGCGGCCATTGTGTTTTTGGGTGGGAACTAACTACAGCACTGTGAGAAAGTTTCGGGGCGGAGGAGCTTATATATCCGACTATGAAAAATAAAAAAAAAACCATATCCTACCAAAAAAAGAATAATCTCAATAATCGTCTCGACACCAATGATTTGTAGAAATTTAACAACAGATTATAATTTATAGGAGAACTTAGAACTGTAACAATGACAATGCCTTTCTGAAGGCAACCGTAGAAAAAACACAGAAAGCAAACTCACTTATCGAACTACGTGAACGAGGATTATCATGAACTCACTCCATAGATAACAAGAAATCAAGAGAGAGAAAATTACCACGGTAACATTTTATTAATTTTTACTAATAGAGTAGCATATCCTTATATATATATATATATATATATANGAAAAAATTTATTCTTAACACAGATTTTCTGCTCATGGATGTAAATGTGTACATTAAAGGAAACAAAACCAATAATAAAAAATTTGTCAATAACATACTTTTGAAGTATATGCTTGTGAATGCATAAAAAATGCCTACAAATGATATATGGCATTAAGCATCAACAAATAGAGCCACTATAGCATTTCTACGAAATCCAACGTTGTGTTAAGTGTTGTGTGTGTGCACAGTGAGTGTGTGTGTACAGTGTGTGAGTGAGTGAGTGTGTCTCTGTGTGTGTGTGAGAGAGAGAAGAAGGAGAAGAAGAAAACCACACTTGCGGGGATTTCTTTCTAGCAGAACGACCAAAAAGATCAGAAAATACTTTAAAAAAAAAAATAATAGTTTTTATTTCTAATAAACTGAAAAGTTCAAATGAGGTGGAAAAAACAAAACGAGCTCGATAAGCCAGTCCAGATGATTGAAATCGCCAGACTCACGATTTCCAGCTCCTGAATTGGTCCAACTAACGTTCACCAAAAAAAAACCCTAAACCCTAATTTCCACCACATTTAACTGCTTTCTATTAAATCCACTTCCTATCGATTAACTTACAGTACAGGCACTTGAAGACTTGTCGATAATCATACAAATTTAACAGCAATCCTATACTTCAACACCCAAAATTGAATACATTTAACTTAAAACCATAAAAAAATTCAAGAAAATGGTAAAAATAGAGAACTGTGAATAACAGTAAAAAAAAAAAAACAGATACCTTTTCCATTGACGGAGGATGGAGTTGTTGAAATCTCGGAGGTCTGACAGGAGATTCGTCGACGGATCGTCGGGATACAAGCCGGAGAAGACACGGAAATATCCGGACAGCGCAACGACTGCCGGGGATATTGACCGGAGAGAGAGAAAGAAGAGGCTGATGAGAGAGAAGCTGCGTCTGATGATCGAACGGAGGAAGGGTGCGAGAGAATGGCGGCCATTGTGTTTTTGGGTGGGAACTAACTACAGCACTGTGAGAAAGTTTCGGGGCGGAGGAGCTTATATATCCGACTATGAAAAATAAAAAAAAAACCATATCCTACCAAAAAAAGAATAATCTCAATAATCGTCTCGACACCAATGATTTGTAGAAATTTAACAACAGATTATAATTTATAGGAGAACTTAGAACTGTAACAATGACAATGCCTTTCTGAAGGCAACCGTAGAAAAAACACAGAAAGCAAACTCACTTATCGAACTACGTGAACGAGGATTATCATGAACTCACTCCATAGATAACAAGAAATCAAGAGAGAGAAAATTACCACGGTAACATTTTATTAATTTTTACTAATAGAGTAGCATATCCTTATATATATATATATATATATATAATAATTTTTTTTTCTTTTGACAAATTATTTATCATATATTCGAGTGGTACACATGGTCTCTCACTTACTAATTGTAGAATAAACTATACAAATAGTCCTTAAATTATAATCTTTGTATCAATTAAATCTATAAACTAAATTTTTTGTCAATTGAATCGTTAACTTAGTCAATTAAGCACTTAAACTTTAAAATTTTAGCAATTAAACCCTTATATTAGTAGCCGTTACGGAATGTTTCATGTGCGCCCCACATAAACAATAGATTAAGAGTATTTTAGACTGTTCATTCAAAATTTATCAAACAAAGAGTTGCATGCTTTATGCCCATCAAACTAAACAAATCAACAAACTCTTCGCACAGCTTACATTTATGTAACATGTGTATTTTCACTAAATAGAAGAACATTCTAATTTGTTTCATTTAATGGATATGAAATATGTTTAAGTTTTGAATTTTGATTGACGGGTATAAGAAATGAATTTCTTCGTCAAATAGATTTCAAACAAGCAGTTTAGCATACGAGATATTTTGTTAAAAAACCTAACGGTTATTGACATAAGTGCTTAACTTTTAAAATTTTAAAGTTTAATGGCTCAATGAACACAAAAATTAGTTCAGGAGCTTAAATGCTAAAATTTTAGAGTTTAAGAATTCAATGGACACAAAAATTAATTAAAAGATTTAATTGACACAAGGAATATAGTTTAAGAGTTATTTGTACAGTTTACTCTTAATTATAAAATGACCAACAAATTTTTTATTTTTATTTTATAAAAAATGTATTAAATGAGATCTTGATTATTTACTAATGAAAGGTCAATTATCATTTAATAATAATTCACCAATATAGAGAAATTAATTATCACACATGTAGATTATTTATCTTAACACAACATGTGTATCACAATAGATCATAGGGTAAGTTTGCAATAACCACAAAAAAGTATTAGTTGTGTTTTCCCACCTCTTCATATTATGAGTTTTCCTTACAATTTTCTCTTTTGGGGATTAATTCTCCTAAGAATCTTCAAATTACCACAAAGACCAAAACACCATAGTCTTACCACATTCAAGCACAAGGCCCCGATGAATCGTAAAACAACTTGACCAAGAAAAACGATGAATTCCCAACTTTCATTTTTGAACAACTGGCTCAACAATCACATTCAAGATGAACAAAACATCCTTTGAAAACCACTTCTTTTCACCGAGTTTGGAAAATCAAACAATAACCCTGGTTCCAATACAAGCCAAAGGGACTCCCGAGTCCTGAATGAAGGAATGGACTCTCTCTGTTATGACTATGATATAGTCTCAAGTGAGAGCCCCTCAATAGCTACTTTGATTGCCAAAACAGTCGCGAGAACTCACCAAGATTCGGAAAATGTATTCCAGGCAGAGAAAGAAAGAGAAATCAGACAGCGCCCAAGATAAGAAGGAAACAAATATAAATAATTAGAGTTTGTCGCGTTCACATACGTTTTGGGAATTTTTCATGGCTGGAGGAAGCCGGATGCTCTCCTAGAGATGATTTTGTTAGTCCAGAGATTATAACTACAGATAAGTATGATACTTAGGGACATTATGAACCAAAACTTTTAGATAACATATCTTATTCGGAAACTACACACAACTAGCTACATTTTAAGGTTCTCTGCATAAATGCATCAAAAGAAGTAGTAATTTACATACAGAGGCACGCCTCCTAGCTGCTTTTATTGCAAACAAGTCAATGCAGGAATGCAGGACTCTTTCAGCTCCCATCAGTAGTAGATCTGTGAAAACAGGTTACAAGTAGTTCCATGATTTTATATGATCGTTCCGTCTTTAATTGTTGCATTCTTCAGTATGACTGTGATCCCAGACCTAATGTAAAATCCTTCATCTGGTCTGTCTGCTTCTTCAACACCCTGATACATGCATGAATTCAGCCGTGATTAACAGTAAAACACATTTGTCTTGTGACTAGAATAGTTACTAGTAATAGTTTGAAAGCAATATTCTACTTACATCTTTATTTTCAACGACCACATCTTTTCCGATCTTTGCATTTTTGTCAATTATGCAATTCCTTCATGTAAAACGACGGTAAGTTAGTGAGTTACTAGACTAAGGCTTTTTTTTTCTGAGGTCTGAAGACAAGAAGAACCAAATAAAACATTTCCTTGAATCAAATGGTGGGAAAAATCAATCACTATCATTTTGAGCAATGACACTTCAAATTGATGATTTTGTTCATCAGAATGAGGTGCCTCAAGCTCATAACATAATAACCGCCTACTTCTGCAAAAGCCATGGGGTACAATTGTTTCCATCTTGTCCCTTGTATTTCTGTTGTGCATGTGAGTGAGGAGTGTGTGTGGTGGTGGGGGGGGGAGGAGAGAGAGACCACTATACTTTGAAGAAGGCACGAATGAAGTTCAAATATTACCTAATTTTTGTGTTATGTCCAACGCCGATGGGGACCTTTCCCTCCGCTAGCAGAGATGCTATTTCAGATTCAGTTTGATAATAGTCTGCACCCATCATCATTGTATCCTGAAAACGGGAAACATAGAACCACCAAATATAGCAGGTGCTTGCTCCAAAACACTAACTACTATATCTCACCATTCTTAACTTTCATCAATCAAAATTGCACCCTAGCCATATTGTACTAGCAATTTAACTGTAGGATGATATGCAACTTGAGAAAAAAAACACTTCAAGTGCACACTTGACCGCAATTAAATTTCATTATGGGTAATTGTTGAAGTAATTTCTTTAGTGAGGAAGTATCTTGACTACAAATGGCCGATATTGCATTTTAGAGCTAAAGACATAGTAACTCACCTTAAATTCAACACCATAGTCTAAGCGTGACCGTACACCCACTATAGAGTGTTCAACGGTACATTCCCGTAGAAAACAACCATGTGATATTATTGCATCCAAAATCTGAAAGAAAAAGCATAATCATGAGATATGCAGGAACCTCGGGTAAAGTGTAAATTAGTGCAAGCATACCCTGCATTTTTCAACTTTAGTAGGTGGCAAGAATCTAGGAGACGTATAGAAAGGTGTCTTTGGGTCATTAAAGCTAAACCGTGGAGGCTGCAGGAAAGAAAATAGAGAATTAGCAGCATAACCAGCTTTTTGGATGGTATTTTGTAATAGAATTAACCCAAAATCGAAATTTTTATCCCACATTATAACAGTTCTTCTTACATAACTGGAGAACTGCATGTAATATGCATTGCTTCCACGAACCATGGAATAGGTATCCTGAACCTATCCTTTATATTCGATAATCCAGGAAATATGTATAGTTTCTAAACCATGCATCTACACAATAATGAATTGTTTAAGCATGATATATCTCTGCCACATAGACAATACTGTGCTTGTACCAAGGCATTTTCAAACATGTTTGCTGCTTTGTAAGTACCTCTGGCTTACCAGATTGCCTGTCAATATCACAATTCACAGCTCTAAACTTCACCACCATAGTATTTGGCCCAAAAATACAAAGTAACAAGAGACAATTTTCCTAACCGTCACACTGACCTGTTCTGTTAGTGCCAAATTGGCATCGAAGAAAGACTTTATTGTTCCAATGTCCTCCCAGTAGTCACTGAATAGATATGCCTGACAATTCGAATACATCAAGAACTCAGCAGATCAATTGCAGGTTTCAAAACCTAGCATATACGAACCTGTTATTATTACAAGCATGAACCGAAGAAGAACTATAGAGTAGAGCTCTCACTTGGACATTGTGATCTCTCACTGCAGAAGGAACGATTTCAGAGCAAAAGTCATTGCATGAAGGATACTTCCATCTCAGTAGCTTTAGTAGGACGTCAGTTCTAAATACATAGACTCCCATTGATGCAATGTAAGGATATTTCATGGCATCTTGCTCAGACAGTCCAAGGACAGAGGTGTCAACTTGCTGCCAGAAAAAAATTAAAGAACAATGATATTTGAAAAAATGTAAGTGAAATCAGTTGGATAAAAATGGGAAAGAAATGCAGTTAAGCAAGCAAAGTAAATCTATCTACCATTGCTTTCAAGGCTGAGCCCTTTGGTTTCTCAGCAAATTGAATGATACGCCCTGTCTCATCAATGTTCATCAATCCATAGTCTGAGGCGCGGCTGCAGAACAAAAGAAAAATATTGAATAGTCTCAAAAATCCATAGTGGAAAAATATAAGCAAGCAAATAAGCACCCAGTATCTGCTATAGTTTGAATTTTGATGCTTCTGGGAAATTAAGAAAAGGGCTTTCCAGCTTGGCTAGGTCATGCTGAGATGTTTGAAATAGAAAGCATTCATGATTTGGAAAAACATCGCATACAAGCAGGACTAATATGACCACAGTGAATCCAGATTGCACTATAGAGAACCCAAATCAGCAGATGGACCAGAGATTCACTCTGATGGAACCCCCAACATGCATATTTGCATGCGTAACAAGGTATGTAAACTTTGCCACCTTTACTGCAACCTTCACCATAACCCTATAGATGCATAGGGTTATAGATAAGGCCTTCTTATATTGTTGAGTTAAGCATGAAAAACTAAATCAAATTGAACAGAGTGACAGGTAACCTACCTATCATCCATGGGTATACACGAAACAGTAATATCTGCATTTGTGTCGATATGTTTCTGCAAGCACATTTCACAGTGATAAAATTTTTAAACCCATTAGAAGGTATTGGATGCCACAAAAAAAGTCAACAAGGAAACACAAGTACTTGAACAAAGTCCATATAATCCATCCGGTAAAGATGATCCCCAGACAGAATCAATATGTGCTCGACATTCTTGTTCTTGGCGTCCTACAAGAATGAGCATAAACCATTAGTCCTCTTCTCTGGGGCGATTCTTCAATGGGAGGGAAAAAACTACAAAGCACCAACCTCAAACACCCATATAAATTGCCGCACAGCATCTGCTGTTCCCTGGAACCACCTCTTTCCTGCTTCTCCTGGTGTTTGAGTGGCAGCCAAAACCTGTTCCAGGGTAATTTCAGCTTTTAGCCATCAGAAAATTCCACCAAATTTATTAACAAACTAAAAATTAACAGAAATTATATCCCTAAAGGATGATCAATCCATTTTGTAACATGCATTTTCTTATAATGAAACAAAATAACCACATTCTCAAAATAAAGTTCCAACTTCAGATTATGCATTTCTAATTTTCCTGGCTGATATATCCATTTACCGGTCTAATGATTAATCTTACCTCGACAAATCCATCCCCAAAACTCACACCATTTCCAAAGTTGTATGCGCGAGCAAGGTGACGGTTGAGGGAGAAAGAATTGAACTGGGTAAGGATAAAAATCTTTTTTATGCCACTATTGATGCAGTTACTCATAGGTACATCAATTAGCCTGTAACATCCTCCAATTGGAACCTGCAAACCAAACCAAACCAAATCAGCATGCTGTTGGAATAAAAATCAAATTAATCTCTTGGACTAAAAATCGATCTCAAAAGAATTTAACCCAGCACTAAAACATATGGAAATTTATGAAAATCAAATTAAAAAGTGACCAATTACAGAAGGGGAAGAGTATGTGGGCCTTTTTCTTACAGCTGGTTTAGATCGTTTTCCAGTAAGAGGAAAGAGGCGAGTCCCAGCACCTCCACCCAGAATGATCGAAGCTACAGTTTTTGGGTCTGCCTCTGCCTTTGGCTGATCAAATGCTGGTGCTTCAAAAGTCTGAAACCAATAAAAGACTTAAAGAGCAAAATTCCCACATGAAAATTTCACATTCATAAAGGGATTAATATATGTTATGTACTCACCAGGCGGTTTCTGCTAATATCTTCTGTAAGAACAGAGAAGGCAACCCCTGGTTTAACCTTTCTAGCCCTTTTTTCACTTCCCAAGTTCCTCCACAACAGAGTGCTAAATGGCCTGTTCTTTGGACTCACTTTGATCTTCATCCCCCAAAAACCACGGTCTCCATTACTAAAACCTTTGCTGACTTGCACTGGTTGCACTTTAGCCTTCATTGTGACACAGCAAGCATCCATTGTTTATCTACTCACTCCTACAGTCTTACCACCAATCTTTACACTAAAATCCCGATTTATTAACCAGAGATTCCAAAATCTATAATGTAAAGGGCAGAAAAATATAGAATCTGAGGAACTAGAAAACAAATAGATACCCAATTAAAAAGCAGCACTACTTTTCGAAAAGATCTCAAAACTCAAAAGTTATGGCTTTTGCATTAATTATCCAGGAGCCAAGACACACCCAGATGAGAAAAAAGATCACGGACCAAGATTTTAGGAAAGTTTAAACTGGGATCAAAGAGAAAGTGATCAGAGTTCAGAGAGAGAGTGTTCTTTGAGTTCAATGACAGGGAAAGTTCGAGAATGAGAAGCAGAGTTGCGTGAACAATGTGATGATGAAGAAAGAAGCGTTTGTTATAGTCTTGTTGGCTTTGTCTGAATCTTCGGGAGAAAATTTTGGGTTTTATGATAGTCCAGAGATTGTGATCTGACACCTTCCGAAAAACACAGACATTGTGATCTGACTCCTCTCTAAAAGTCTGTGTTTTCGTTCAGACTTCTATGGTCCTTACAGAGTCCAATGAGACTGTCAATTTAATCATTATTAGTAATGATATTTCTTAATCATTATTAATAAATTAATAATATTTTTGATTAATTAATTAGTGTGTTTGACGCTAATAAGGAAAAAAATCTAACGATAAAGTAAACAATTACATCATGTATGATAAAAAAAAAAAAAAANCTAAAACATATGGAAATTTATGAAAATCAAATTAAAAAGTGACCAATTACAGAAGGGGAAGAGTATGTGGGCCTTTTTCTTACAGCTGGTTTAGATCGTTTTCCAGTAAGAGGAAAGAGGCGAGTCCCAGCACCTCCACCCAGAATGATCGAAGCTACAGTTTTTGGGTCTGCCTCTGCCTTTGGCTGATCAAATGCTGGTGCTTCAAAAGTCTGAAACCAATAAAAGACTTAAAGAGCAAAATTCCCACATGAAAATTTCACATTCATAAAGGGATTAATATATGTTATGTACTCACCAGGCGGTTTCTGCTAATATCTTCTGTAAGAACAGAGAAGGCAACCCCTGGTTTAACCTTTCTAGCCCTTTTTTCACTTCCCAAGTTCCTCCACAACAGAGTGCTAAATGGCCTGTTCTTTGGACTCACTTTGATCTTCATCCCCCAAAAACCACGGTCTCCATTACTAAAACCTTTGCTGACTTGCACTGGTTGCACTTTAGCCTTCATTGTGACACAGCAAGCATCCATTGTTTATCTACTCACTCCTACAGTCTTACCACCAATCTTTACACTAAAATCCCGATTTATTAACCAGAGATTCCAAAATCTATAATGTAAAGGGCAGAAAAATATAGAATCTGAGGAACTAGAAAACAAATAGATACCCAATTAAAAAGCAGCACTACTTTTCGAAAAGATCTCAAAACTCAAAAGTTATGGCTTTTGCATTAATTATCCAGGAGCCAAGACACACCCAGATGAGAAAAAAGATCACGGACCAAGATTTTAGGAAAGTTTAAACTGGGATCAAAGAGAAAGTGATCAGAGTTCAGAGAGAGAGTGTTCTTTGAGTTCAATGACAGGGAAAGTTCGAGAATGAGAAGCAGAGTTGCGTGAACAATGTGATGATGAAGAAAGAAGCGTTTGTTATAGTCTTGTTGGCTTTGTCTGAATCTTCGGGAGAAAATTTTGGGTTTTATGATAGTCCAGAGATTGTGATCTGACACCTTCCGAAAAACACAGACATTGTGATCTGACTCCTCTCTAAAAGTCTGTGTTTTCGTTCAGACTTCTATGGTCCTTACAGAGTCCAATGAGACTGTCAATTTAATCATTATTAGTAATGATATTTCTTAATCATTATTAATAAATTAATAATATTTTTGATTAATTAATTAGTGTGTTTGACGCTAATAAGGAAAAAAATCTAACGATAAAGTAAACAATTACATCATGTATGATAAAAAAAAAAAAAAAACCCAATTATATCATGAGAATTAATTTGAGAAATTACACTAGAAGAATCATTAAAATTTGAACCGATAAGTCATAACTTTAGACACAATTCACAGCGAGAATACAAAATAAACATGGAATAAGGTCACATAACACAAATTTAATATACTAGTGGTTATACACGACTATTAACATGTCGGGTATATAGAGGTATCAATTGTATCTATTAACATGAACACGATATGAACCTAACACAATCCGATATCAATTAACATGATTAATATTAGACACAACTAGTATTATGTAAGTAGGAAATAGGTATATCAAACGAGTTGCTTAAAAATTAAATAATTTTTTTATTTTCATAAATTAAAATAACACGAATTGACATATGTACGGACATTGGCTAAATTTTTTTTTTCATAACATAACTTAAAAAAACCATCAATGACATCAACCAAAAAAATAAAAAACAATGAATGACATTAGCCAAATTATACAATCATGGTTGCCTCTTGAAGTGATATTCTTTTTGTATTCTTACCCAGAAAAAAAAAAAAATCTTTCATGTGGTGTTGAACACAGAGGTATACAACCTTAGTGATTGAACTTTAATGCCAGTCTTTGCCATGTCCAACAGGGCAACAACCTTCTTTGATTTAGATGGCTGATGTGATGAGCCATGATATTTCTTCCTTAAACTCAACTCAAATTCCAATGCCCCACTTCGTGTCCACCTTCGTATTTTTTGCGTTTCCCATTAGCAATTTTGAATTGTCATCTATTTTAGGGGTCGGAGGATTCGGGTTAATTTATGTGTATTTTAATTAATTTTTTATTTGATTCAATTAAAAATAGGTCAATTGATTAAGATATTCATAAAAGATAAATCTCTTGTGACTTGACCGATCCTAAAAATTACTAAAATATTTAGTCATCCATCTCGATGACTAGTATTTAGAGTAATATATGTGATAATATCATAATCGAATTGTATTATACATTAATGATATTGGCATATCATTGATCTTTTGACCTATAATTTGTATAACCTGATTTCGAATAAAATCTATGAAATGAACATTGATCGCAATCAAAATCTTATAATCAAAGTTTCGCAATAGCACCAACCTTCAAGTTTTTGTCGAGTGATTAAGTTTGGTCTCGGAATCTTGTAGTTTAATTGGACCGCAATTTTTTACCCAAGTGAGTTGAGTAGGTCCACCAGAATTAGAGGCGGTGCCATCAGAGCATAAGCGGATTGGGAACCAGCTTCATAACAACAAAGCCATGAGTCTGATGGATGAGCGGTTTATGACCGAACACGTGTAAGTAATACATGGGTTCTTTAAATTTTTCTTTCTTTTTTTTAAGCTAATGTGTTCTTTAAATAGATAATAAGTAATATTAGGAGAAACATGGGCACCCGATACACCATTACCACACTGTCACGAATCTCATTGTGGCTAGATAACAGGTGTCATGTGGTCTTATAAGAACTTGGACGATTCTCTTTCAGATTCCTAGGCCATTACAAATGGTATCAGCATAGAATCCAATAACTCACAATCCTATCAGTATCGTGGAGCCGAATGGGGAGGCCTTCACAATGTGCTGTTATAGCGGAACCGAACCGAACCGAACCAAACCAAACCAAACCAAACCAAACGAATGCGCACATAACTTCAAACACTATCTAGTCATTGCACCACCTCGAATGGGAGGGTGATTAGAAAAGTGACCATCAAAAATAATGTTAAGTAGAATGACATAAATTCTAGACAAGGACAATCAACACCCCAAAAAAGATTAATTGTTTTTTAAAATTCTTATAACTATAGTATGATGTTAATTAAAATATATTTAAAATTTATATATCATTTCAAGTGTTTATTAAAAAATAAGTTTTACGAGTAATTTCAATACTGCTAGCAATTCCCTCATTTTAACTATTTTGGCGAACAACTCCCAAAAAATCAGCTCCAACCCACTAGCTATCCTACCCGCCAAAATCTAGGAGGTCTTCATTGCTCGCCACTCGTCGCTGGCCGGTGCTACTGCTATATTTTGCTCCCTGTTTTGCTGCCAGAAACCCCTCCCCTCCCCCTCCCCCTCCCCACTGATTTGTGCCTGTTTTGCCGTTGAAAGCCCCTCCCCCTCCCCCAAGATGCGAATGTGTACAAATTGATTAGACCGGTGCTTGTGAAGTAGGATTTAGTTTTAGTGTTTGTGTGTACCATAATTTGTTTAGATGATTTTGGGTCATTGAATGAAATTTATAACATGCTTGTTTAAGTAATTTATAATCTGTTAATCATGATTTAAGTTGATATTTTCTGTAACTTTGTCATTTGATGATGTGGTACGACACATCATCATTACGACACTTACGTGTTATGCCAAGTGATATTTTTAAATTATATTATTAAAAATTAATTAAAATTAGTTGAAGTAATTAGTTAAAATAGATAACATGATTGAAATAAATTTTTAAATAGACCAAATTAGTCAGCTCAATTATAACCTTAATCCGAGCCTTTTATAATTAAACTAAAAATCAATAATTTCTTATAAGGCTAACAATTGAATTTTTTGTTATTCCTATGATTCTATCATAATTTTGGTTTATTTCTAACATGCTGAATTCCATTTGAGTTGTGTGACATTTTTGTTCTGTGAATCGGTTTGTCTGTTCATATTGTTACACCAATTTGGTTTCATGTGGAGCAATACAGTTCATGGTCTTTTAATTTGACCGAATAATAGGGACTCATGGGCCTGGGCTTAACAAACTCTGACCCACTTGTTTATTAATGCATATCATTCTTGGGATAATTGTTTGTTAGATGGGTGAGTTTCACTGAAAAAGTTGATAAAATTTACTTATCAAAGGGATGATATGCATTTAAGTTGTAACTTTTTAAGTTTTATTTGAGTTTGAGAGAAATCACAAAGGATAGTTCAAGTGATAATAGATACAAGATATAAACTCAAATGTCTTGAATTTGAATCTTGATAATTTTTTAGGATCAGACAAATATCTTAGTTTCGGTGTGGATGACTAACCTTTGACCAAACTGATGAGGGAATTAATAGAGGCGTGTACAAGATAGTTCAGACACCCCTAATTAAAAAAAAACAACCAACTGGGAGAAGGAATTAATCAGGTCCAGCTTGGGCCCATTGGTCTGAAAACCAACAAGGCTCAAACGAAAATTTCAGAGGACAATAGGTTCAGTCCTGTACTTTGGACCAAGACTTCGGGACAATTCTTATTGTCAGGCCCAAAAGTGTCAACTTGTATGTAGGCATGAGGTAAGTATCCGGGATCAATAAAATAGTCGGTATAAGTCTCAGTCTAAACACTCTGTAAGACAAAAGAAAAAAAAAAAAAAACCCCACTTCTCATATGGAGATTCTTGGTTCGATACCGCTACTGCCCCTATATCGATACTGTTCAAACAAAAGAAAAAAATTGCATCTAACATTGCTTTTAACTAACTTAAGGCTGTTGAGCTCGAGTGAATAGTCNCCCGCCAAAATCTAGGAGGTCTTCATTG